TTGGAGAAGCATCTCTTGTCCGCATAGTTTCCCTCTTGTAGAACTCTAAACAATTAGTGGGGCTGTTTCATTGGGGTGCTTTTAACATTAAATCAATTTATTCTTTATAACAAAGTTATACTTATGCTCATTCCTACGTTTTGAAGCCGACTGATTTATTTATATGATCTCATAAACTGATCCTGTTGAGCTGATGCGAAATTGGTATACGTTTTTATTGTCGTTGTTGTTGGTCGATTGCTGATGTTTCGGCGATTTCGTCTTCCTCAGAGCCTAGACGTATTTTGTACAAGAAAAGTTCAATTATCCGGTGGAAAAACCAAAGTATTAATGAAGATCTAACACATAAATAAACACCGTATTAATCAGAAACTACTAACCGTGCTGTTAGGAGTCGGGCTATCTGCGTGTTGCTCACCTGGGACCATGAGCGATGTCCAGCCAGGGGTAAAAAATATCATTTTGAAACAAGGCGTCAAGTCACTTATGATAGTAAGGCATTTGTCTTTCCTGTTTATTTCTGGATTTTTGAAATTTATCCAACACGTTTCAAGAGTTTTTTGCGCGTCGACGTTTTTGATTTTGCGCTAGGATCTGCACAGTCCCTTCAAACTAATCGCCATTGTGCTCTTGGGCCCTATGTGTGTTGCGAATATAACATATTATTTAATTGTTAATTATAAATACATCTAGGTTTAATTACCCAAGTTTGAGTTTTAACATCTTTCCGAATCAACTAGTAGGAAGACCGAGCGAAGGATTCGTCGCCGAAAACACACCTTCCTCTAATCCACATCATGATGAAAACCTGGATACGCCCTTGGAAGATTACGTCAGAACTCCATGGAGGACTAAGTAGCACAGCCAGCAGTAGGTCAACCTCAGTACCCGCACATTGGCTTGCTGCTCCCGTTTATGACGTTAGGCGGTGAGACGACCGGTGAGATTACAGAAAATCTCGGATTATGCGGGACGTCAAAGGAACCGCATCTGACGAACACACGCACGACGCTGCATGGAGATTGTTTCTTACTATGCAAATATAACGCCAGAACACTCTCCACAGACGCCAATTTCCACGTCCTTCTTGTAGCCGCAGATCGTATTACATTTTATGTGATCGAATTACAGGAAACAAAAATCAAGAGGACCAACATACGCCAATTAAACAACGGGACCCTTGTGATCCGTGGGAAAATGGTCCCGTCACGAAAGGGGCTTTGTCGTCCTCCCGTCCATTGTCCATGTCGTCGACTTGACTTATACCTGATCCTTTTCCTTCGCATAGCCGTCCACCGTTTTCAGCCGTCGCTTCATAAGAAGATAGCTACCATCAACTGCTACTCACGGACCGTTGCAGCTGATGAGTGCGTATTAAATGCGTTCTACTATCAGTTGGACGAAGTAATCCGCAATGATAATGCATATCATAAATTTATTGTCGGACGCTTCAATGCCAGAAAAGGAAAGGCCAACGAGAGCGAATACAGGATCGAAAATTTTGCATTAGAAGAAAGAAATGAGAATGGGAACCGTCTCCAAAACTCCTTTCAGCAAAACGTCTCTTTCATGGAAACTGGTTTTTGCAGAAGAAAGAAAGCGGCTGCCGGACATGGGAGTTTCTCAACAACATGACTCATACGGAGATCGACCGCGTTCTGACGANGATGGTACCTACTTGACACATTGGTAGACCCGTCCTTCTGTACTGGTTCTGATCACCGCCTTCTTCGCGCAAAGATTCGATTCAGTCGCAAGCTGTTAAAGAACTTTCTTCATTGACCAAGAAAAAAAGTTTGGCTGCATGCGACGAGAACATTTCGAACGACGTCCTGTTCAAACGTGACTGACGGATTAAGGAAGACCCGACCTGCTTGTCGAAGTACTGATAAGCTATGCCGAATTCGCCTCAGTTCCACAAGCAAGAAGATGGGATCGCATCTTCATCACCACTAAGGAGTTGCTCGAAAAGAGAAGGAAACTGAAGCTTGGTCCTACTGCAACAAGTTCAACATGGCTAGTAGTAAATGCCAGATGCAGAAGAGCTTTGCAGGAAGATCTACAACGGTACATGCTGAAGAAAATGCTGGAAGCAGTAAAGAAAAATAATCTGAAAAAATACCGTCGGAGCTTGTATAGTTATAATGTTTCGCTGCCAGCAGTAGTGAACGAAGATGGGATCGCCAACACTGCTTGCCATGATCTTCGGGATCTTCGGGAGAAGGGATCTTCGTAATTATCGTCCGATATTCTTGTTAAGTGTATTCTACAAGCTCTTTACGAACATTATCTTCTCGCGCATATCAAGGACATTGGATGAGGCTCAAGCAGTCGAGCAAGCAGGATTTCGAAAAGGAATTTGCTGCATGGGTCACATACAAACTGCGTCCAGGGTCATCGTAGTTTGTCGGGAATACCACTCGCTTGTAGTCTTCACCATTGTCGACTATGAGAAAGCGTTTGACAATGTCAAAACGAATGCAATCCTATCAGCGCTCGTCGACCAAGGGGTGGACCCGTCCTACATAAGGACTCTGTCCGACTGTTATCGTAACTGCACTACGAAAGTACAGCATTTCCGTCGACCTCTTCTAATACCCGTAGGAAAAGTGGTTCAACATGGCGACACAATCGCCAAAGCTGTTCAGTGCCGCACTACAATGGATAATGATGTCAGTCGATTGGGTTGAGAACGGCATACGTATTGATGGAAAACTATCAAACCTTCGTCTTGCCGTCGACATTGTCATCTTCTCAAGAAGTGCTAGCGAAGCAGAGGTAACGATCAACAAACTCAACGAAGCAGGGAAAAAGATCGGACTTCGCATAAATCGAAAGAAGACCCAGTTCATGACAAACCTATGGTGCAAAGGCGTAAAAATTGAATTGGATGGCTCTCTCATTGCAGAGACCACCTCGTACGTTTATCTTGAGCGATCAATGAACACGGAAGACAATATGAAGTAGGAACTAGATAGAAGAAGAAGAGCAACTTGAGTCCATTCGGGCCCCTCAAAGAAGCAATATCACCACTATGGACTACTATTGCGAGGGAAAGGAGCAAATGGCGTATGTGCTGCGGTCCGCACAGCTCGTGAAGACGCACCTCTCAAGTATCCGTGTAAGTAAGTATAATTACATAGTACAATAATTTTCAAGATTATAATTGCAATTATATTAGTTATATTGCATAGTTGTTAGACAATTTTAATTTAAAATTATGTGGCGATTATTGACCTCCCACTCTGTATCCTACGGTGTCAGTTAGCTTGCAACCGCCTCTGCGATCGTTTGCGCAGTTTATAAAGCTATGTGGTCTATCCTAGCAGGAGAGAAGGCGATTGCATAAGTCCAGGTACAACATACTTGAACTCGTCCAAGGCATGCGATAAGGAATAAATTGGAGAAACGGGTAAGCCGCTTTATGTCCGCATAGAAGAGCATCTCCATGGAAATGTTAAAAACCATCAAAGCATTCCTCTAGAAACACATAGAATGATGTATGACGTAGGACCCAGTGATCGGAATAAGTAGGTGAATGACGAGCTTTTGCTTAACACAAATGAGCTAGGTGTCCTTGCATTTGGCAGTACGCTGGAAATTCTGAGAGACACGTAGGATTAACAGTGCAGAATATTAAAAAAAGAAATTTTAGAAAGAAAATTGAGTAAAAAAAAACCGTGGTCAGTTTTCAAAGAGCCGTGATTAGTTAGCAGTCGCTCTATGTACTCGCTGCATAAAATACATCGTTCTCGCTCATGTGTTCAGTAGAGAGCCATCCAAACCAAAGCATCGTTTTTACGTCAATCGAGATTATGAATAGCGGAAAAAATCTCCTTTGTTTTGACACATTACTATTAAGAACTTTTTCGTTGGACGGTATTAAGATGTGCTCGCGACCTATAGCGGCTGAAAAAAGGAGAATCGAAAAACACTTAAACATGCACATCTGTATAAAGTGTTCATATTTTACGCAAAATTACAGTGAATGCTTTAGTGCGGACATTATATTCGTCGAGCTTCCCGATATAGTGAAAACGGCCTTGTTGAGTTTCCGTCGTGTTATCGTTGGAAACAACGGAAAAGTCCGTCCCTTGCTACACGGTATGGCATCATACTTTGAGTACTTACAACTGTAACGTATTGGTGAGATTTTCACTTTGCTCCCGCATTGCATCTCAATTTGAGAACCTGACGAGTTCCGGCAATCAAACCACGTCAATTGCCACATCGATCCAATCCATCGAAGAATCTTGCGTGCTTTAAAAAAAGAAAAGACCCGAATGGAACAAATGCCTCATGTGGTGAGTTTATCTAGATCAATTCTTAGTTGTTCTTTGCCTATCTATAACTACTTTAACCATATTGTTTTTGTTATGCATAAATTGCTAAGGGTGAATTTTTGCTCGACGAGGATAAGGAGAACGTTATCGGTCATAAATGTGCTAAAGGTGATTGTTCCAAATTTGCTCTTTGATTTTCATATTTGTTTTTCTGTTTATACACTGCACAATGGGCGAATTTCTTTTTTTGCTTGTCATAGTCCTATACCCGCTTTTAAGGGTAATTACATAAACATTTTAGGCAGAATCAGAATCTCATGTCTTTTTAGTATGCAAAGATATTCAAACCCGTGTACCGCCAAAGGCAGTTGCAGAGCAATCTCTAAAGCAATTCCATACAAAAAGGCAAAATCCAAACATAGTAGGTGAACATCAAGTCTCTTTGTTCTATACCACCTTTGGATATCATTTTCAGAAACTCTTACTCGCGTTGGGATTAACAGAGGCCCAAATTGACCGTGAGTTTGACATATTACGGCTTATTCACCGAATTTCGTTTTTCGATATCCGTTCTAGGCCTAGAGAATTCACCATTGTGGGCCCCATTTCCAGTAAACAAGAATGAGGAACAAACTTCCAACCAAGATGGAGAAGTGGTCAAAGGTAAGATGTAAAGACAAACTTCAGGAAGACATTTTTTGACATGGACATTCTACTAACTCGCTAGGACTTCGAATTCCATAGATATAATTTTCGGTCGATTTTATGTTCTACAGATTATCATATGCTTCCAGTGCAAATTGTGTGAGATCTTGAAGTGTTCCGCGATCATAGTCAGATGTATTTATTCTAATGTTGTAGTTTTACTTAGTCAACTTTGTTGAGGTCGATCTAAAACGAGAAATAATTCGCCTGAAAAAGACTGGGAGGTTGCTGTAACATTGCGATCTAGTCCTGTGGAAAAAGTAAGTTCCGTTGAAAAACCGACGGCACAATGTTATTTCTTCGAATTTGGCACCAGTACTATAATAACTGACTTTCTAAAATATTCGAGTAAAAAAGTAAATTCTTCTTTTTCGAATGCGCTATGATTTGTAAGCAATTCACAACAGAATGGCACCACTATGCCAGAAAAAACACGGCACGCCTTATATTATTCTTTTTCTACGCCAGCGTCTCTACCGTGCTCTTTTATTCGTTCACTCCTAATTTTTGTTTCGTTGTGTGCAGTGAAAAAAAAATCACCGTCTACCTGCGGTAGCGTTAGTGCTTAGTATTCGATTACAAATGCATTCTACGGGACACTTCAGCCAAAAGCCTGAACTCAAGTCACAGGTAAATATATGGGAGGCGGTTAGGAGTTGCTTCCAACAAATAAGCTCGATGTCTGCTCTGGGAAAGACCGGCAAACTATATGTGGGTATCGAAAAGCTAAAAACGGTGAATGGAATAGGCCTNATTTCCCTGACCCCGAAAGAGCACACAATTCGGCAGCGTTGGGTAGAACGAGTACGGAGAGGCTACTAAAATCTCTCGACGATGGAAGCTTCCTGGAATGCAAAGAACTAAGGTGACGATCTGTATCTATACTGCACATACACTTGCGTCGGGGTCTTCGATAGAAAACTTGCTCATGAAAGCAAGAAGGATGAAGTATGACGTCATCGGCCTGGCCGAGACGGGACGGCGCCACCCACTCGACACAGTCTGTGACACCGGAAGAGAACTGTTCCTCGGAACATGCGACAGCAGAGGAGTAGGCGGAGTCGGCGTTTTCGTCAACAAGAGTTTGTCCATGAGCATCGAATCATTTGAACAGCTTACAACCCGAATCGGACGTTTGCGATTAAAAAAGATTTTCGATACCGCCGTTAGCATTCTTCGTCGTTTACGTGCCGACATCAAACTATGACGAAGAAGGAGTCGAAGCGTTCTGTATGGACTTGGAGAAGTTCTACAGAGAAGACCATACATTCTTCAACGTCATCATTGGAGATTTCAACGTCAAGATTGGACCAAGAAGAACGTCTGAGGAACGTTACATTGAGATTCATGTATTGGAATAGAACGAACAGGTTGAGCGGCTTTCTGAGCTTATAATAGCGACCAAGACAATCCTTGCTAACTCGCAGTTCCAAAAGCGCCACCCTTAACGTTAGACGTGGGAGTCTCCCAATGGAGAGTACCATAACGAAATAGACCATATTATTGTAAATAGAAGGTTTTGCCTAACCGCTGTCGCCGTTGTCCCAAAATTCTACACGGCATTAGATCACCGCCTCTTTCGTGCGCGATTCCATTTTTCGCAGAAAGAGAAAGCTGCGAAATTTAAAAAATGAAGTGCTGAGATTTGAATAAACTGCGATTTATTCAATTCACTAGTCGGCTGCTTCGATAATGCCGTTATCGACAACACCGACAAGGAATACGATCGGTTCACCCAACATCTCCACGCTGGCGCTGTGAAAGCTGAGAGATAGAAAGTCATCAAAAGACGTCTGTCTTCAGAAACACTCGAGCTGATACGCCAGCGTGGAATCGTCGCACGAGCTGCAGGCAACCGCGAACTAACGTCCGAACTTGCAAAACAATGCGGACAGGCGATAAAAAAGATGTTAAAGAGAGAAGAGCAGCAGTAATGGTCGAAGCTGCAGAGGATGGGAAAATCATTCACGAAGTCCGCCGAAGCTTCGGCAATCACATAACCACGATTACTGCACTCCCACACCCAGACGGAACAGTTACAGCGTCCAGAAAGGCAATGGAAAAAATCAATCACGAATACTACTCAGATTTCTTCGATAGCCACATCCACCCTTCGTTATATGAAATAAAGGAGGTTGGATATGTTGTACCACCAGTTCTCCTTTCCGAAATCCGGCATGCCATTTCGCCGGTAAAAATTCGAACAGTGCCATATGTAGACAGCATAAAATCGATCACCTGAAGAACCTTCTGCCTGTCCTCGTAAGCACACTGGCTCGGTTCTGCTTATGTTACCTATCTGGATGTAAGGTTCCTACTCTATAGAAGAGCAGAAAGACCGTGCTATTGTTGAAGAAGGGTGAGCTGTACGACATCGGCAATTCTACAACGATATCAACATCGATGTCAAAAGAGTAGTTAGGCAGTGCGATACTAACCCGCCAAAATTATTTATCGCTACCCTCGAGGGCGCCATGCGAACATTTGAATGGGATAATATGGGGGTGGAAATTGATGGTTGGCATTTATAGCATTTTCGCTCCGCTGATGACATTGTCCTTATAACATCAAACATTAGCCAAGCGAACGAATGTTTGCCGACTTTTATAAAGCCTACGGAAAGTTAGGTATTCGACTACGCCGCACATAAGCGATGTTTATGAGGAGCGGATTGGTTTCGTATGCCCCATTGACGTTCAACAAAATGAATATCTCCGAACCCACCAGCTATGCCTATCTAGGTAAGGAAATCATCATGATGAACGACTTAGCTCCAGAATTGAGCAAAAGGAAACGAGGGGCTTGGGAGATGGCATCAAGCATTTAATGAGCAAAACAAAAAACATTTGACTACGTGTCCATCTTTTCGATTCAACGGTACTTCGTGCCCTAACGCAAGCGTTCGAAACTTCATCGCTACGTAAATAGAATGAAAAATAACTTAGCGTTAATTGACGCGCAGTTGAAAGAACGATGCTAAGAGTATTCCGTTCCACGCAAATAGGGGATGGAATCCGAAGCTCGGATCTGCGTGAACGACCTAAAACCAAAGATGCCGCTCTGTACGCCAAGCAGTCGACGATAAGTTGGGCCGGCCACGTAATGTAACGAAATGGCTAGCGACGGAGTGTAGCGGTTCAGATTGATGCAGAATACAAGCTACGCGGATCTTTTAGTTGCCGGTTTGATCTACCAGTCTCAAACTTGGGTAATTAAACCTTTAATACATAAATACAGCATTGATAACATAATAGTAACGATTGAGAAGTAATGGTATGCCGCGCCGCATCTATACGCGGCCGGTGTGACGGCTGAGGGANGGGGTTACAGACTGGCCGTGTTTCACCCAAGCTAAGATTTCAACATTACAGCGATGAGGAGCATTTTAGTGGATCGATGAGGACTGTAAGTTACATGAGCGTTGACGGTGCTATGGACAGTGAATGATGAGTCATCTACGGAACACAGTCAGGCGGCTGGTCGTGAATAACACTATGTCAGCAATGTGAACTTTGAGCATCGGTGGGTGCCACCATTGCCTAAAGATCAAGGACCAGTGTGATAAATGGCTACAAAACCGATAAGTCTATAGCGGCTTAGCAGAATACATAGCATAAGTTGGCCGCTTAGCGGCATTGCACGCATTGCGGACAATGTGGGACGAATGGTACATGCCAATGTTGACGATGCAAGCAGAACGCATTTGGAAACACCCTCCACTACTGACATCGCACCGTAGACAAGCTGAGAATCGAGATAAAATAATCTGCTGATTACCGAAGGATGAATGTGAATGTGTGAATGAATGTGATTGAATAAGAATGAATGACTATGACTAAGAATGAGTTGAGGTGATTGGGGATGATTAAGGATGTGGTTGTGAGGAGCGGATTATCCGCGCTACCGATCGGGGGTAAGGTGAGTGATGACATGTCTCCTCCGTCGAAAGCACCTGGTTTGTATCGGCTGCGGGAGTCGCGAGCGTATGCAACCGCGGTTAATCTGGATTGTTGATCCTGGACCGCAATAGACTGTACCTAACTGCCTGAAACATCAAACGTCATTGGCTTCATTGTTTCGAAAGAAAGTAGTAAACTGCTCCGCTGCTACGCCTCCTTGATAAGCTGTCGTTGGTGTGCTACTGAAGTCAAATCTGAATCGCTACTGTGCCTGAAACACTGAACATAATTGATCGAGAAGATTACAAAAGTTACATTGCGGTGTTTGAGGTGCGACTGCGAGGCGGCCATATATGGACATCAAATACTATTGTCTAAGAAGATAGAGTACTTTTTCAGAAAGAACTTCTCTATACGTAATGCGTATGAATGACATTCGATAGACAAGAGCCGTTAGTGACTGAATTTCTAGGGATGCTAAACGCATTGCAAGAAGATCACCAACCTGATGGTCAGAGTTCTTCACGAAGACCATAGAAGAAAGATATGGTGCTCAGCGAGTCTTTAGAGCGAGCAGAATCGGCTGGGCTACTCTTGCGCGTGACAGTGAAAAAAAGGGAGGATTTACTGGCACCCGCTCGAGTCACTGGACGATCAACGGGACTACGGATAACAGGTGATACCCTGACTCACCAATGTAAGAATTTTGCCATTCTTAGCCTCAAGCAGTGCTCGGCTGTTTGGTATCTTAGGACTTCTGTAATAGATTTCCTGAGATTCAAAAAGGACTTTTTGGATCAATAATCCCGTTATCCCAGTGACTCGCACAACTATTGAACTCTCAAGTAGACACTAGCTACCGCTGTAACGACTCGACGACCAATGGGAAGTGTAGTAGAGGTAGCGTGTACATATATTAATAAATCATAAAATCTTCGGCGCTGAGCAACCCCTGAGGGATGCGCCATGCATTCTACCTCGTTAGTCATCGTTTGGAGGTGATTGAATGCATATCTGTCATTTATAATGGCTCGCGGTCGCCTACCGATGTATCGAACCAATGCTGCTATCATCCCAGATAAGTCTGGCACCACTTTAGCGACCCTGAAAGGGTGAAGGCTTGATGAGCCGTGGGTGGGGAGACTGAATCTACGTGCGTGTCGCAGTGGCGACTCCAGCTACTGCGCCACACGCGCCTTTTAGAGGGATACTTGTGGCAATCTTTCATATACACATCATAGCGTGCACATTGACGTGTGAGGCATATAAATGCTGCTGAAGAAATGTCAATTCGCCTTCTAACAAAACTGACAAGATGCACGTAGGTTTTCACTTTTCCTTGGTTTAGGTGTTCCACATTCATGCATCTGGTATCTTTGGTGAACGCTGAACTTTGAAAATATTGTGAAACCTTATAAATACCACGAAGATTGTGAATGCTTGCCGTTTCCACAGAGACCTTCGAAGGGTAATCCAATAAGTAATGGACGATAGTGATTGACTTAAATTTACGCCTTAATTACAGATCAGCCGGTATTAAATGAATTCAATTCATTCATTTTTTTTTCGTTGATTATCATACGGCGCAGTATTTTGGCAATCTTCTTTATCAATCGATGCCTTCCCTAGTACAGATTTTGCAGCATTCGTTCTCGAGAAAAAGTATGCTTTATGCCCTGGAATAGTTAAAAAACTTCCAAAAGTTTGCTCGTCATTTCGTGCCTTGCCACGAACAAAATAATGCCAGGCAGCCGTAGTTCGACTATCCTGTAAACAAGAACAATAAAGGGAACATAATACGGAAATTATAATATTCCCCGTATCTCTTATTTGGTGCCGAAACACCTATAACGCTTTGTAGAGAAGAATAAATGTTATTAGTAATAAATCCCACGACCGACTTTCTAACAACCTCGGCATTGATCAAGTAATTCTTCGTATACTTGTTGAGCAATCGCAAGGTGTTACTTTTATTCTCTATTCACGAATAAGCTGACGTTTCGGCAGATTTCGCTTTCCTCACAGCCTGGGAAGGTCAAGTTGACAGCAAGCTATTCGGCCAGACACCCCATAACCAAACCAAGAAAACGCTAAGCTAAGATTTCAATGACATTGTATAGCTTCTTTTCAAGGTCACCGTTTCCTATTAGTCTTCCACTGAGTATGTAGCGTGGAGATCAACCGCACAGAATTCACATAGAATCGCAATGTGCACCTCCCATCAGAATAACAGGCTTATATACTGCCCAATATCACGCGTGAGAATGAGGCATTCTTTCCTGCGGTTCATTTTCGGATTTCTCGAATTAATCCAGAGAACCTCGAAGGTTATGCGCGCTTGTGTTCTCGATTTCTGTGCGAGGATCGTGATCCGTACTTCAAAGTTCTCCCGTTATGTCTCTGGATCCTATGCGTGCCTAGTGGTGTATTTGGTTTACGTTTACCGGCTAGGTGTTGTTTTATGCGAAAACAGAGTGATGTACCCGTTTCGCCTAAGTAATAGTCTTCGCACGCCTCACAGGAGATCAGATAAGCTGTACCCGAGCTTATGAAATCTCTATACCATTAGGGCAATTTATGAAATTTTGCGTTGCATTTAGACTAACACATAGTTCGTATAACACTTAGTTCGTAACCGCCTATGTGACCGTCTGCAGGTGATAGATATGATCGATAGATGAATTTTATGAAGTGGTACCGAATGCCAAGTAGTAAGGAAATCTTGGTTCATTACCTCTTATCTCACACAAAAAGGGTGCTTGTAAGAAACGTGTTTCGAACAGCAACCAGCATGTGAACGGGAAGAGAGCAGAGTGAAGAGTTATTTGGCACGGCAAATAGCCATCTCTAATGACTACGAAACTGCTGTTCGGGATAGGTTAAGAGAAACCCTAGGCTACCAAACGACAACTCTAGAGATAAAAACGTTTCGTTTATCCCACCCTTTATCTCAAATGATGTTAGTGCAGCTATGAAACGCTGATTAAGAAGGGTGGCTGTAGAGAATTCAGTAAAGGTAATTGAAATGCCACCGAATACTCTCGGGCGCCAGCTAGTTCATAACCTCCTATTTGACCGTCCATGTGCAACGCAAAATTGTACTATTTGCCCTAATAGTAGACACGGTGATGCACGAGCTCTTGTATAGCTTATCTGTTCTCCTGTAAGGCGTGCGTAAACGACTACATTGGCGAAACAGGTAGACCACTCTGTGTTCGCATAAAAGAACACCTAGACGGTAAACGTAATCCAAATACCTTACTAGGCACGCATAGGACCCAGAGACATAACGGGGAAGACTTTGAAGTACAGGTCACACACATCCTCGCACAGGAATATAGAACACAAGCGCGTAAAACTTTTGAGGCGTTCTGGATTAATTCCAGAACTCCGAAAATGAACCGCAGGGCTGAATGCCTCATTATCACGCGTGATATTTGGCAGTATATAAGCCTGTTATTCTGATGGGAGGAGCACATCTGCGCTTCCATGTGAATTCTGTGCGGTTAGTCTCCACGCGACATAGTCAGTGTTAGAATCATGAAAAGCGGTGAGCTTGCAAAGAACCTATTTTGGGTTCAATGTCATTGAAATCTTGGTTTAGTGTTTTCTGTGTTTGGTTATGGAGGTGTTTGATCGAATAGACCGCTGTCAACTTGACCTTTCCAGGCTCTGAGGAAGGCGAAATCCGCTGAAACGTCAATCGTTCGTGAATAAAGAATAAAATAACAGCTCGCGTTTGCTCAACAAAAAACCGAAGAATTATTAGTAATGATTTATCTATTATATGATTAACAGGGCCTAATATTATGCTGGTAACGCTATTCTTAGGTGCAATTTTTTTAATAATTTGCAACCTCAACACTTTTCGTGGCAATAATTGAAACAACGTGGACAAATGTATACTGTATTGGCTGTATCTACTTCTGACTTAAATGGTATGTAACCTAGTTCATTTACGTGATATTAGCTAGACAATTTCTCACTGCAGCCAGCGTAATTTCTTCTTTTTTGGCACTGTTATTGGACGTCGTCGAGAATGCGGTTGTTAGAGGATTCAGTCACTTGCAATTTGTCTACTTGAATAAAACTCGAGCAGCTTTGCTTCTTAAAGTCTTGTATGTGCACCTTCTCTACGTGTATTTTGGATAACATATTTACACCTTTTTGCTTGGGATGTGTTTGCAGATTAGCACCCTCCTTCCAGAGAACAGGAAAGATTCATCAATTTCTCAGGTCCACCAACCCTCGACCTTTTTTGATGAGTTCGACTAGTGGCATGTTTTGCATAGCTCACACCATCTAGTTTTGAATTACGAGCTAAACTGAAGTGACCAACGGCTTTCAAAAGCCCGCTATCATAGCAGAATGTTTTTCCTACTGAGACAAGACTAATATGTCTTGGTCTTTTCGGTAAATCTGCACTTTTTTTCTCATTGCTTATTTTCCAATACGACGGAAAGATACATGAGATAACGGCATGACGTAGACGGTACATGTATAAAGTACGCAAAAAGACCCAATTATGGAGGAAAAATTGCACCAAGAGAGGCAAAATAGGTTTGTAAGCAAGTACGACACACATATGTGTATCATAGCGTGATGGGCTGAAAATTAGATGTTTCCACCAATGTCTTAATATTTTTTTTCAAGGATGGATCAAGAAAGAAGGCGGACACTACTATTTGGACGGACGGCTCATGGAATGCTTTTTCGAGTTTCGCTCAACTATGCTTCAACAATGTTCATAAAAAGGCTAGCTTTTTTTAAGTACAGTCTTTTTAATATCTTGGGTGTTCTCCTGCCTTTACGAAGTTTCATCAAGTATTCATCTTTCTTACAGATTTTGGCAGCAGGCAGACGTGAAAAACTGATATCGCAAATGGCTGCCTGCATGAAACGAATGGATGAGCGAAAGTTTCAAGAATTCTTTCCAATGTTTAGCAAACGCCATGACTATAACGTTAGCAGCACTGGTTACGCAATTATTTCCTTTCATTATATCTGTTTGTTAATCTGCATGTTCTAGTTTCCTACTTCTAAATATGCTTTTTACAGAATTATCACAGAGTTCGTTTACGGATGGTTGAGGAATGCATAAATGATAAGCTTGAAGAGTTAGAGATCGCTCCAATATATTTTGAAAGCTGGACTGAAAATGAAGGCGCGATTATTGATATTAAGGTATGGAAGTGTATTCCACGTCGCCTTTCGTTGATGACATAACCTAAAATAACTGCATTAAAACAAATCGTAATAAAACATGAAAGGAGCTCATGAAGAGCGTACGAAGCTCAATTACTTTTCGCGAAGAAATTATAACCTAGTCTAGCTCATTGCCTGTTATGACAAAATGACCATTTCATTTTGTTAGATTGTTTCAATTTTTCAATCAATTTTGTTAAATTCGAAGTGGTCGACTAAGATGTGGTTTACATTTGAAAGAAACGTGATGAAGAAACTGTCTGCATAGTAACTATTTATCCGGCCCCAAAACTTGTTGTGCTTGATTAATTTGGAGAGTTGTTGAGCTTTCGTCCTCCCAACGGTTGACTGCCTCATCGTGGCTGGGAGGTGCTCCTGGGTGTCGGACTGCGTTGTACAACAGGGTGATTCATCCACCCGGCAGGGTTTCCCAAGAATGCTAGGATCCCGTCACCGTCCTGGCATCAAACAAACCGAATGGTGGCCAACCTCGGGAAGCACAGTAGCTAAACCAGAAAAACTTCTAAAATTGGAGATTATGCTGCGGCCAGCACAACCAGTGAGGATGGGCTGTCTAAGTGTCCAAGTAAGTAGCTATGGATTCATAGCAAGGAATTCCATTTTATTATTTGATGCGGCTTCTTTTCTGCTTTCAAGTTAGGTCGGTAACGTTTCTATCACATCTTTTGTGCCCTGTATGCTCGAAGAAATGTTGTTTTGCACACATTGCAGAGAAAAGACATGTAGACAAGTTTGTTCACTATGACGACTCCCACGGGGAATAAACCAAAACGTAGTTCTTTTTTAGCATTTTCTTGATGTCTTTCAAAACGTCTTTATATACTATGTTCTAAACTGAGTTTTATTTCGATGGTTGTCACTCAGACTTAAGCTATTGCTTTTGTTTCAGTATTTGGTAAGATGCGCTATATCCTTCTCGAACTACTCTGAAGCAGAGGCAATCGGTCTTGCACTGCGCATGCAGTATCCTGAGGATGCGGCGGGTTGTGATTGCAAAGATGGTCGTTGCACGTTATCCTGTCCTTGCATTAAGGTGTGCTTTTACATCCAATTCTTAACAAATAGAAGTTTTAAAACCACTACTTTTGTGACGATGTCGAAAGCTAGCTTACTTTATCGTGAATGATTTTCTTATTCATTTCATAGTATTCTTTGAAAATAAACCAGTCTGCGTACGTCCTTTCAATTGAAGAAGTAGTGCTTCCTAATTTTTCTTGTAGATTAAGATAATCTCCCTGGAATCAATTCCTGAATTTATCCCGGTACCATGGAGTGTGTCAGATTGTGGGTATTCACGCAATTTAGGTTATTCCTAGAAGTTTTTCGAATGCCTCTTCTATTCGCAGTTATCTTTTAAATGTCGCGACATTGCATACTGTAGGGATCGCAGTCCATCTTTCATTGGGTTCGCTATCTCACATCTGTGGTGCGCTAAAGTCTTTAAATTTGTGCCTTTATCTGATTGATACTTGGAAAATTTATCCTCATCACGAATGTCGTTAAATGCTGGTTGAATTGATTTTTTTTTTGGAATCCTGCGATGACTCTGCTTGAGCAACTACAGGCCTCATCGCAGGCAGTCGCTGGCATTTTAGGGTTGGAGGAAGTTTTCCTTACACAAGTTTCTTACAAAAGCTCAATGTTAGTACACGTACCAAGCAGGTCTAGATGGCTCGGAGTGGAATGGAACCAACGACAGGCTTTTTGTTTTGAGTTGTTTATAATTATTGAGCTTTTTGAGCCCTGGGTTTCGTATTGTTTTTAAAATAATACAAGCTTTCAATGTCAATTTGCTACGTCCTTTTGCTATTCGTGAAGTGTTTACTATGTCAAGCATTGATTTCGATGACCGATAATAGATGCTTCTCTAAATCTTAGCTAAAAATCTGAACTTGTGTGCTTTACAAATTAAAACCCTGGCTCCATTTTTAATTTATTCCATCTCATATATGTTTCGCCGTTTTTTCTTAGAGGATTGTGGTTTAAGAATCGAAGCGATTGAATAATCGGCACTTGATACAGCAGAATACCTTCACCTCCAATGGATCGTTGGTATCCAAATAAATTTAAAGCTAAAATAACATATTCCAACAAAAGTCATTTGATTCTTTCGATTTGAATTCCAATTCTCTTCTGCGCCTATATATTCCTTTGGTTCTCAAGAACTTCAGCTGTAATGAAATTGCTAACAGTTGTCGAAGAAACAAATCTGTCATGAATGTGTCCAGATGGTGAGCTTAGCAGATAATTGGTCAGATTCAGATCCGAATGCGTAGAAACGGAAAGGTCGATGTGGAAAAGCAGGCCGAGGCTATTATGGAAGGATGTGGGACAACTTGCTCTTGTAACTTCGACTGTCCAAGCAGATTTGAAGAGGTAAGGAAATGTTTACTAATATAAAACTTTCATTTGAGCGCTCAAGATTGCAAGTATTTTAGTCGTAATTTTGGATGTTATCTAGAAGGAATTANNNNCATTCAAAGTTTTGAATCCTAAATATTAGAAATTTGAATTTCCTCCCAACGGTTTACCGCCTCATCGTGGCTGGGAGGTGTTCCTACTTGTCGGACTGCGATGTACAGTAGGGTATTCATCCTGAGGCAAGGTTTCCCAAGCTGAGAAGGAGTCTGGCGTTTCTATCAGAAAGCCTAGCTAAGAATAGACCAATACCAGGATCCACTATCATCCTAATATCAACATCGCACGGTGACAAATGTTTCTCTGATCCACAAAGGCTGTGACTACCTGTGGTAGTGAAGACGTGGGGTAGACCTTGACCAGGCTGACCTCGGGTTTCCAGGGAAGCACAATGACTTAAAAAGCAATTCTTCGAAAAATGGAGGTTATGCTGGGCCCGCACATCTGGTGAGGACGGGCCGTTCAAGTATCAAATAAGCAATTAATATTAGGAATTTATGGTTCGTTAAGCTTATTTTATCAATTTATCGCATTTTTATATTATTTCAGAGACGCAGGAAGGTTCCACTTGTCTTATTGCACACAGCGATAAAAGGATGGTGCGTCTACACTCCACAAATGATTTCAAAAGGAACCTTTCTTGGTACATATACAGGCGAGGTTAGTTGTTTAAATTTGTGTCTTAGTCGGCAACAGACTAACTTAATAATTTAATAACGTTCTCGATAAATCATTTACCCTCTTCACTCCAGTTTTCGGCACTCTCGTTAATAAGTACAACTGCTATATGCAATGTCGTCAATTTTTATTTACTGCTTACTAATTTTTAATGGGAAGGTATTATATGACATATAACCACAATGTTTCCGAGATATGTATTTTTTCTTTATTTATGTGATCTTATAAACTAATCTTCTTAAGCTGAAGCGAGGTTGGTACAGATCTTCGTTGTCGTTGTCGTCTCTGAGGAAGGCGAAGTCGCCGAAACGTCAGCCATCGATGAATAACATCAAAAACAACGACAACGACAACGAAGATCGGTGCCAACCTCGCGTCAGCTTAAGAAGACCAGTTTATAAGATCACATAAATAAATATATGAACTATCTATGCCGAGGTTCATAGAAAGTCGGTCTTTCGAGTTATTTTTTCTTTGACAGGCTTACACGAAGTTGGTAAACAGAGTTATTTCGGCTAACGTTTCGACTTCTTCGTTTTCATGAGAGCCGATGCTCCGAATCGATAGTCCACCGTTCTTCTTGGTCTCGATGTGGCGTCTTCGCCTTCGTATCGAGTTGTGTCTTCCTCAGCGGACCGTCACTCGAATGAAGTATACTCACTTGGTGATACCCTTATACGCAGAACGCTGATGGTTGATAGTAGTGATTGTCCGGTGAGGTGGGCTCCAGTTACCTGACGCTGCTGCTTATATCCATCTAAAATTACGCGGACTAGAGATAATACATGTGCTGCATGCAGCAGCTTATACAAAATGCAGATTGGAGCTGCAGATGCTGAGGAATTCCAGAGGATAGTAGCTGCTTCTTCAGTTCCCGAACTGTCGAGTCCAGTTTTTAAAAAAGTAGTTACAAAATATTTTCCAACCATCTGCAAGGCAGGTTCATAAGATTGTCGTTATCAAACAATTTGCAGAATGTGCAGAAATAGATCTGCGACAATTACCTGTTATTATAGTTAATTTAAGCAGACGATAGTGTTAAATATAAGAACTATTCGGGGATTAGTTGTAATACCAGTAGTGGGGTCTACGGTCTACGATCACTCTGTTAAAGAAGGATTAACCGAATGGGCTTTCCTCGCTACTGTATGGTTTGCTTGTATAATATATTTATCGGCTGTTCACGAAGATTAGCTTATTGCGCATATCAAAGAGGCTAGATAAGGCACATCCACAGTTTTATGCAGCATCCTGGCGATTATTCTGTTGCATAGATTACATCTGCGGTCCAACATGTTTCTAACTTATCGGATACCAGGAAAATGAGGCATAATTAATAGGAGCAAACGCATTCCTGTTAGCACGCATCTGTGAATCCATCTAATATAAGCAGGTACAGAAGAATAGCGGGCTAACAACACTACGACCAGGTCAGAAATATTGCGCAGTGTTCATAGAGAGCGGCAAATTGCTTTCTGACTCGTTACCAATATACACAACGCTGTGATTTTCTTCGTATTTTTGTTGAGCAAACGCGAGGTGTTACTATTCTTTGTTCACGTTTAAGCTGACGTTTCGGCGGAT